GAGAGATAGTATAAATATAAGAACTCCTGTAAGTTGCTAGCTTTTTTTTCTCCTGGTGAACTTTTCATATAAAATAAGGCATTTTTATTTGTGCCATGAGTCTAAATCAAAAGTTACCAGACTTATTTCACTGAATAAGCATGTGTATTTTAAGAAAAACACACAGTAGAAGTATTATTAAAAATACTACTTGTTGAGAAGTAGTTTCTCAAATACTTAAAAATTGCAGTCAAGCAAGTGATGTCTAAGCATAGTGGTAGCAGAGTCAAAAGACTGTATGACTCAATCTGCCAGAATTGCAGTTGACAGTGAGTCAGGATCAGAGTATAAATAAGACGGTGAAGAAATCTTTTCAGAGTCCCTTTATTATTACAAAAGCAAGGAGACTAAGCACAGTTAACTAACAGGGAAAGTCCTGAGAAACCGGTTCCTGTCCTGGAGTCTCCTTCAGCTACAGAGGCAACACCCTTGCTCAGACCTATCACTGGAAACGTGAGGAGGCCAAGTACTAAGCATAAGTCAAACAACTGCTATAAGATCTCACGCCCAGTCTTTGTAAAACAGAATGCCAAGTACACAAGCAAGACACACTTTTCCAAATTCTATTTTAATCAATTTAGAAAACTGATGTGTTAAACAGCACTTCCGATCCAAAAGTTATGTTAAACAGTGACTTCCCAAATACTCACTTGGAAAGCCAGCATAAAAGCTGTTACCTACTTCCCCAGAAAGATGCAGTATCCTTGGTTCCTCTCAGTCAGTTAAAGTGAATCTTAAAAAGCCAAAGGAAATACAAAAGCAAAAGTCACGGAGAAACACACAAAATATCTGGAAGAAACACTGTGCTCATTTTAACTAACTCATTAATTCCTTATCACTGAGAATTTTTATATGAGGCAATTTCTATGTACTGGATAAAGTCTCTAGACTTTGCTAGCTAGCAGAACAAAATATACTACTTTCCTGAAGTGAAATTCTGGAATTTTATCGTATAGTATATCATATAGAACTGCCTACCCTTTACACAAACTGCAAACAACCACTCTGCAGAGAACAGTACCAAAAGACTTCATTGCTTTTATTCTTTACAGCCCAATTTATCACACATAATTTACACGCCTGCAAAAGAAAATTTATTTTTTTCTGCAAATACAGAAAAATTAACTACTTACACTGATATGGTACAAAGAAGTATCTACTACTATACTGAATATGAGGGCTATGAACTTTTCCTTCAAAACAATAGTAGAAATCACAAAAGCTATTTCCTTCAGAGAATTTATCAAGGCAAAATATTATTAAACATTTTAAATTTTTAATTCAGGACTCCTAAATACATACTTTTCTTCAATTAAACATTTTCTATCCACAGTTAAAGAATACCTCATTAATTTTTAGTAATCTGTGAACTTCAGTCAGCTAAACTGCTACTCAGTGGAAACAGGCCACTGAAAAATACTGTATATACTGTAGACTTTAAATGTTATATTACGCCCTTTAAGTTTTATAATTATTCCTAAGGATAATAATAGAAATCCCTTTCATAAGGGCTTATGATTCAAGTCTGTATCTACAGATTTAAGTGTGTAGCATTTGCAAACACATGCATTATTTCACGCTACAAAAAGTTTACCATCTTTAGTATATATAGAGAGATCAATATAGACTATAATAAAGTACATTTTTTAGACACTATGAATAATTGAACTTAGGTGAGGCGAACAGGCAGTCCTTGTATAAAAACCTATGGGTTTGTTGTACTTTGGTATTCATTGTTGTAAGTATGGCCACAGTGAATTTACTGTACATAGGGATGGCATAAGGGAAATTAGAAACACACCATAATGGTATTATTACAGTAATCACCTGTACAAGGGAAGGTATTTCTAAGCTTTAATGCACTGCATTCAAAACTCAGGGTTGAAACTTGTATTTTACTTATGTTTCCTGACAAAAACATCCAGAACTCTCCAATTTCTAAAAAAAATTGCTGTCATGTTGTGTGTAATAATAGAGCATTAAATGAAGTCTTTACTATCTAATGTATTTTATAAATAAGCACAGTTAAGAACCACCTATAAGCAATCTGCACTTGTGTCACAAATGGGAAGATTACCTTGGTAAATCAATACTTTTTTTAATGCAGAAATGTAAATTTAGCTATACTTGCAAGCTTTTAACCAGCATAAGCCATTTGTTTGAATTGGTAATACAGCATCAAATAACAACTGGGAGAACAGTAATAAACTGCCCTTTTAAGGCTTCTCACCTTCCCCCCCGCTCTTTTTGTTTCAGTTTGCAGGGTCTTGGGGGGGGGGGGGGGCGGGGGGG